GGCCCCGCCCCGCTCCTGGAGTGGAGCTTCTAGACCGCGTCGCGCTCTCACCCGACTGGGGGCCCGGAGGAGCTCGCTGTGGCGGACGCGCGTGGGCAGCAGGCAGGTCGAGGCGAACCGCGGGGGGGGGGGGTTGGGCGCGCGTCCAGCCGCCCAACTCTAGCGGCTCGTCGGTTCTGCTTTGGGGCCGGCTCCCGGGAACAGTGTGTTGGGGAAACGACTGCACTGAACATTGGTTTCTCGGGCGACGCAATTGCTAGCTGGGGAGCCGGAGCTGCACGTGAACGGTTCCCCCTGCGGCACGCTGCACAGTGGTGCGGTCCACGCTTACCCCTTCCTAAGGCTAGCAAGATGGGACACATTTCCCCCGGCTCGAGAATCGAAACTGAGTGATTAGTTTGGCCACAAGAGGCTGTTGCCACCGAGGCCAGCCCGGATCTCCCAAGAGGCTGGACGCGGTCCGGGGGCCCCAGCAGTTTTGTCCCTCGGACAGCAAAATCGGAGACCTCAGAGCCGGAGATCGGGCTTATATGGCAAGCTCGGGAGATCCAGGAAGGGCTGGCCTCTAAAGATTGGGACTGTCCTGGTCGCCACGGAGTGTCCTCCGCGAGCGACTCTCCCTGCGGTTCAGGTTGGCAGTCTTCTGGAGGCTCCGAAGTGACAGCTACCTCCTCAGTCCTCGCAGAAGTTGATGGCAAGAGTATAAACAAAGGCGGACCTCGGCAGGATAACTTGAAATGTGGTCAAGGACTGGTCGCCTGAAAAAAATGAACAAGTGACCTTTAAAGGAAAAATTCCACTCTCTCTACCCCTGTCCACGAAGAACGGTGCTGATCCACTGGACTGGCGTTCAGGCCTCCAGATACCCTCCCAGCCAACGTGTTCCCCAAACTCTTCTGTTTTCTTTTGAGCCCAGTCACGTTTTAAGCTGTAAATATAAGTTGGGCGGTGGTGGTGCACATCTTTAATACCTGCACTAGGGAGGCAGAGGCAAGTGGATCTTTGTGAGTTCAAGGCCAGCCTGGTCTAGAAAGCTAGTTCCAGGACAGCCAAACTGTTATACAGAAAAACCCTGTCTAGAAAAACCGTGCATGCGTGTGTGTGTGTGTGTGTGTGTGTGTGTGTGTGTGTGTGTGTACACACTGGAAAGAAATAAAACAAAATGTTCACAGTCAGTAACTAAAGTAGTAACTATAACAATTTTCATTTTCTACTTCAGATTTTTGCCTATTTTCCATAACTTCCGAAGTTTTACAAAATCCTAGACTTCTCTCACAACCAGAAAAAAAAGAATACTTACCAATTTAAGTGGCACATGTATGAGCCCAGCTATAGAAAAACAAATAGAAGTGATTGGGAACTAATATGAACTGTTAAGAGTATATTTTTGGAAACTAGAATATGGTCTTCAATATATGATTATAAGCTGGGACAAAAAGACCACACCTGGATGCAAAGGTTTTTAGATGTATTAGATGTTTCCATACACACAGCAATGTTCTAATGAAGGTAGAGAACTGTTATCTGTGTCTAGGATATAAGGAAGTTAAGGCCCAAATATGTTAAATGTCACAGTACAGCAAATAAGAAATTGAACCCAATTCTCATCTTGCAGTACTCTAACATCCATTAATTGCCAGTGATACCGAGATGGTTAGTATAATTCTTATACTCATCTAATGACATTGCAGTTAATCTTTGTTACAGAAATCTCAACAATGACAAAAACTATGTGGATTCTTATGCCACACATTTGGGACAAGCACGCTCTGTTAGTGTCTGACACAAACACAGAGAAGCTGTCCTTCACCTACACAGTAAACACCTAAAAACCCTGTTGCTTAAGTGAAATTATTTTCTAAATTTCACAGGAAAGAAAGAGGTAGTATAACATGCTCACTGGACAAGTACTTTATACGGACAAGGAACTCGGTAATGAACGCTGAGCTAATGGCGGTCCTACGCTTTCTTGAGATGGAAGAGTGACGGCTACTAGGTAAAGACTGGAGAGATGGCTCTGTTGGTGACCCGCCTGCTGCTCATGCCCACACAAGTTCAGATCCTATCTTGCTTAGGGTGTCTGTGGCTGTGAAGAGACACCATGACCACAGCAACTCTTATAGAAGAAACCATTTAATTGGGGCTGTCTCACAGTTCCGAGGTTTAGTCCACTGCTATCACGGCAGGAAGCATGGCGGCACCCACGCCAACATGATAGAGAGGAAGCTGAGAGCTCTGCCTCAGGATCCACAGGCAGCAGGAAGTGAGAGAGACACTGAGCCTGGCTTGAGCTTCTGAAACCCCAAAGCCCACCCCCAGTGACACACTTCCTCCAACAGGGCCACACCTCCCAATAGGGCTCCTCCCTGTGAACTTATGAGGGCCATTTTCATTCACATTACCACAGATCCCAAGGCTGTGTCAAAAGTTGGACATGCACCTGTGATTCCATTGTTGGGGAAATAGAGACAGGTGTATCTCGGGACTTGTTGGCCACTCAAATGGGTAAACTCTACATTTAGTGTGAGACCCTGTCTCAAAAAAAATAACCAGTAAACGCACTCACTAGTATGATGTCTCATTATGTTCTCATCAGTTTTTGGTTTTGCTACCTTATACAAAGTTAAAAATGTCTAATGTGGTTTACCTTCTCAGGCTGTGGATAATGAAAATGATAAAACCTCTGACATAGGAGCTGAAGAGATGGCTCGGTGATTAAGAACTCTTGTTGCTCTTGACAAGGACCCAGGTTCAGTTCCCAGCATCCACACACTGGCTCAAACCATTCAAAACTCCAGTTCCAGGGAATTTGGTGCCCTCTTCAGACCTCAAGAACACCAGGCATGCACACAGCACCCAGACATACATGCAGCCAAAACACTCAGACACATAAAAGTAAATAAACCTTAAGAATTTTTTTAAAGAAAACCAGTGAAGAAAATTTCAAATCATGTAGAAATCCTCTGCACATTTTAAACTTGTCAATTATCACTTTGAGTCATGCTCTTAAGCTTTTTATCATTTCTATCCAAATATGTGTTTGTGTTGAAGAGGACTGTGTTGAACACTTTTTCTGACATTCTACAGTATATGCCTCTATATGTAAGCCTTTCCAATTATACACTCGTAGCGCAATGTCTGCTCTACACGCTACAGGATGGTTCGCGAATCGAGCAAAGGCCCAGAGATTAAAACATACACACACACACACACACACACACACACATACACACACACATACACACACACACATACACACACACACACATACACACACACATACACACACACACATACACACACACACATACACACACACATACACACACACATACACACACACACATACACACACACATACACACACACACACACATACACACACACACACAGAGCCAAGAATGGCCCCTTTATTGTGTTCCAGGGCAGCGTACATAGGGTCTGCTTGATTAATGGCCACACTCTAACTCTCAGCTGCAAGCCCCCCAGAATCCACTCCCCTGCCATCAGGAACTCCCAAGGGTCTCGTGCTCAGAGCAGCTGCAAGCACATTTAAGATGTTTACTTCAGCAGGCAGGGGGGGGTCACAGGAAATTCAGGGTCTAGGGGTCCACAGTCCCCAACAATACACAGGAAAGGGTACCTTAAAGCCTTATTTTAAAGCACAACCCCCATAAATACTACAGACATAAAGCAATGGTCTGCTTGAAAAGAAGACTGTACCAACAATGAAGATTTCTCCTTAAGCCCCTTTCCGAACTGTCCTCCATGGCCATTGGACTAAACAGCTTGTCCTTGAATTACGTATGCTCGAGTTTTTGTCTCGGTTAGCTTTCAAGGTTTTGTCCTGCTTTTCTTTTTCTTAAATAAAAAAAAAAATCACTGTATTGCAATGAACCTACAAATAAAAACATCACGCAGCTAGGCCAATGCAGCCACTCAACCATACCGTTGCCCAGTGCTGAACTCTATACATCTCGGTGAACTGCTGTGTAGTTAGACTGGCCATGCTGAAGCCCTGGAGCATCACTCAGGGCTCTGTACACTTTCACCATCAAGTCTGGTTTTATGCAGTTATCTACCACATAAAGACATGACAGTTGTAAAAAAGAAAATCAATTAGCTTTTGTCCTCGCTCGTGAGATTTTGGCCTTTCTGAAATGCTGTCTTGCTGTCCGTGATCTGCTAACACTTGCCTTTTCGCCCACAGCTGTATTTCCAGATCCTCACACATTGTCATAAATAGCTGAAATTCCATCAGTTCGCTGACGTATCACCTCCCATCACTAATACACTCATCCTTACAGAAGTAACGGGTTGCTAAGTTTTTGGGTTTTGTTTGGATGAATGATCTCCTGAATTTATATGTGTATCGCCTCATGGTACGCATGTGTAAAAGTCTATCCAGAGTATAAACATGGGAGTAAAATAGCTGGATAGTAGGGAATGAAAAAGTTCAGCGTTATAATTTATAGTTCAAAATATTTCTGAGAATGTTATTCCTATTTACAGTCCTGCTGAGTGTTACCAAGCACCTAATGCAAGCAGCCATGTACATTCCATCATAAAAGTGGTTTTCACTATCG